ATACGCTAATAAATGAAGCCACCTAGCAAACTAGATGTGAGAAATGAGTGAATATTGAAGCTTGTTTTACAGTTATCAGAGCGAATTCCCTCTAATGAGTTGGTAACATGATCTCCAGTCAGTTCTTGACCACATCATTTCTGCTCACTGTGTCCCCAATTCTGCAAAGAGATGCAGTAATATGAACTCCTGCACCTGCAGGGAGGCCCATTAACTTCAATGGAACGCTGTACAGACTCAGTGCATTTGTTTGCAGGATCAGTACCTATATTTCGACCATTAACAGTCAGTAATTAGGGGAGGCAAGTGGACCACTACTAGCAAATAATATGACAAGTTTGATTCAGTGGCTACAAGTTTTCTTGGGCGTATATATTCACTTTCTTTCCCTTTGTCCTTACCCTCTTCCCTTCGTCATGTCCCACTTGCACGTGATGATCCACTCTTGATGTCAAGATCCTTGACAGTGTATGACCACTGAAGCCCTTCACTATTCTGATTGACCACTGGTTCCAGTCCATACGGGCTATTGGAGACATGGCTCTTCTGCCCAGTGTAAGGCAGGGCCATCACCAGGGTGTGTCTCTTTGCTACCATTGCTGATGTAGTTTGCCAGCATCACAGAATGGCCCTTGAACCCACCAGACAAGATCATGCAGCCTCTGTCTCTTTTCCTTTGGTAGGATCCAAACTGCTCCTCAGTTACATGGTCACTCTCTGACTTCTAACCCACCCACATTGTGCCAGTACCAGTAATCTGACTGCTTCAAATACCCACCCATGCATTTAACAGATAGGAAAGGATTCTCGTTGTCGTGCCATTAGGCCATTAAGTTTCTCTGCTTAAAGATGCACACAAAAAGTGACCAAGAATTTAGATCAAAAGATGTTTCAACATTTACTCGTAAAACATATCCACTAAACAAGATGCACAAAACAGAGCTCCTTCAAAATAAGATTGTTTTTCAGCTCAGATCAAATGTTTTGCTTTTGAGACTTAATAACAACCTTTGCCAAGGATGTGCACGATTTAAACAG